GATACAAGTGATATGGCATGTATTAAACAACGTTTACATGAGGAAAATGCTGACTGGATTATATACGTTATTGATTCTGGACAGGTAGTACTTCGTATTTCTATTGAAGAAAATTGAGTATAACAAGTTGTTTTGGGTAGTTTCCTAATTTCTTTTTGACAACAATGGAAAAACTCTTCCATAACATGCTTCGACTAAATTTTATACAGAGATAACTCTTAATTGAAAACAAAGATCGTACTTAGTTATTGTTTCTTGTGCAAGAATCTTGAAAGAGTTTGCTGAAATAAATGAACACTAATAAGGTTTTGTTCTTAATCTGCTATATTCAAAATAACAAATCATTATTTTTAGTCTCTTCATATGCAATCGATCTTTGCTGGTGCCAAATTAGCTGGCTGGCTCGATGAAAAAAGAAATGTTCGTATCGATCATGTTGGCTTTGGTGTTGTACTCGGTGAAGATAGGTACGATGTAAAAAGAACGTTTTTGTTCACTGCATTTTAAACATATTTTTTTATAATGAAGAAAAAAATTTAAATGTCGATCTGGTGAATCGGTTCGACTTCGTGATTTATTAGATGAAGGTTTACAACGTTCGTCAGCAAAATTAAAAGAAATTGTTGTTAAAGAAAAACAACGTAATCAAGTATGTCGAAGAGCATAATATGAAAAAAAAGATATCATGTTTGTTTTTAATTTCAGATATTAACTGCGGATGAACTTAATAAAGCACAAAAATCTATTGCTTACGGTTGTATTAAATATGCCGATTTATCTCATAATCGTACAGGTGATTATGAATTTTCCTTTGATAAGGTAAGACATTTTCTTTTATTTACGTTTTGAACTAAGAATTTTTTTTAAATTTATTTAGATGTTAGAAGTACGAGGAAATACAGCGGTGTACCTGTTGTACGCATATACACGAATAAGGTAGTCTAGATTATGATTTTATTCTTAATATAATAGTATACATTCATATTTAGATCGCTTGCACGTTGTGCTGGAATTAATAATGAAACACTAAAACAAAAAGCAAGTGAACTTGATCTAAATTTTGAAAATGATCAACGTGAAAACAAATTAGCTAGATGTATCGTGAAATATTCTGATGTCTATGTACGAGTATTGGATGATTTATTGATGCATTCATTATGTGAATATATGTATCAACTAGCAACAACATTTACTGAATTTTATGATAATTGTTATTGTATAGAAAAGGATAAAATTACTGGTAAATGACTATGAATTTTTTCAAACAGGAAAATAATCTTGGGATCTGTTCGTTTTTTTTATTTTAGGAGAAACAATAATTCATTATAAACGAATTTTACTTTGTGAGGCCACTGGAAGTGTTTTGAATCAATGTTTCAAAATACTTGGCATTCACCCATTAGAACGAATGTAAATAGTCTAAGTCAACAGTTTTTTCTTGTTTTGTTATTGTATATAAGATGACGTCTTTTTCGGTCGTGGAATTTATTGTGTTATTTATTTAATAAACTAAGAGAATACTTCCTAATAGTATTTTGCTGCAAATGATATATGCGGCATTGACAGACAGGTTATTGTTGAGATAGCTGTGTCCATTGCCACATAAATTTCTGAGACATTCTATATCACATGTTTTACAACGTAGCTGCCTCTGATGTTGATATTTCAGCAAAGGCTACAATACACAACAGCAAAGTATATTTACAGTTTTTTTAAGTAAAATAGGATCTTTATAATACACGAAGTCGGATAAATTATATTTGTATTTGATTATTTCATAAATATATACTTTGTCTTCGTAAAATTTTTAATATTTACAACAACAGTTAGACGTTTCGATTACAACGTTCAATCTTCTTCAGTATAACATAAAATATAATTTTTATAATTATATTAATAATATTTTTTTAATTTTAATTTAATAATAATATTTTTTATAATAAAATATCTAATATTTTATGTTATACTGAAGACGATTGAACGTTGTAATCGAAACGTCTAACTGTTGTTGTAAATATTAAAAATTTTACGAAGACAAAGTATATATTTTATGAAATAATAAAAATACATATATTTACAGTATATTTATTATCAAAAACATTATACATTTATTATCGAAATCAAAAAGTACAGGATAAGAAAGTAGGTGTCACGCCACAAAAGAAGAATCCCACAATTAATCATCTTTGTCTCACATCAATTTCTTATATATACTTACCGAGAGGAGTCGAGTCTTCAGAATGAGTACTAGGATGAATTAATTATTATGGTGGCTCTTGACTATACATCACCGGGCCGATCTCAAATATCATCTTGGCGACCTTTAAAAACTCTTTCTTCATAGAGAAAATTGAGAAAAAACTGTGAAGACCTCAAAAACCTGAAACATCGAAAAACCGAATTCGAGATTTATTATTAACCATCTTTTTTAGTTTTTTTCCACATTTCTCTTGACCCAGAAGTCACAGAAGGTTCGAAAACATCTCACGTTGTTCAGAATCAATTCTCTATCGTTTTAGACTGGTTGTCGAGAAGGTTTCCTGGAGGTCCGGTCTCCGGAAAACCCTCTGGATGGTTTTTGAAAATTTTAAAAATGTTTCCATTGAATTAGCCATCATTTTTAGCCTATTTGACACCATTTCCATTAAATTTGGACGAAAAAATCGAGACTTAGTCGAAAATGACCTGACCGTTTTTCGCTTGGGTACAAAGAAAGTCGTTTTTCTCTGCAAGAAAGATGAATTTCAAAAATCTACACAAATACTTCTAAAGCTCGTTTCAAGGCGATTCTTTTGGCGTATGACTCAAAGGAAAAGCTCTTAACCCAAAAACCTAGATACAGTTACAAAATAGAGAGTTCTGTTTTGACACGTGTCGATTCAGACGTCCATTACAGACGGATATTTATCTCTGAGATAATCTAGACACATTTTTCTAAATCAGTTTTCGACGCTGATTCAGAAAAATATTATTAAAACTTTTTATCTTTCAATACATATTGGAAAAGTCGAATTTATGACAGCGCTCGATGTTTCAGGTTTTGAGGTCTTCACAGTTTTTCTCAATTTTCTCTATCAAGAAAGACTTTTTAAAGGTCGCCAAGATGATATTTGAGATCAGCCCGTCACGGTGAATCAGAATATGTATAATAAAGGCAAAAAATGTTTTAGCTGCACCTTACGTATTGTGCTTATTTAGAGAAATGAGCTGCTGAAGATCTGAGTGGGAGAAATAAACGAAGAAAAAGAACTTGGTTCCGCTCATGTCTACCTTAGGAAAACAGATGAGAATCAGATCATTTTAATCTTGAAACACTTGAAACTCTGGTTACCGTGATACACATTTTTTGAGTAAAGTAACAATTTGTAGGAAACGTACAGTTAATGAATGGACGAACGAACATCTTTGCTTTTTTATAAATGACTTTTTTGCTGTACTTTCATTCAAAATATTAGCCTAATTCGTTCTTTTGTGCTGATTAGAATCGTCTCCCTCACCTTCGTGCACAAATGTTATATCTTGTTCTCGAAGTCGTTTTTCCTTGGTTCAAAAGTTTCATTAATAAATCTAAGTAAATCGTCACCTCCTTCTTGGCTATTAGTGCGATTGGATGTGTCCATTTCGAACTGTTTGATAAAGAGTTTTTCTATAATAATGTTCGAGAATTTTGATCGATCAATTCAAGCGGTACGAACATTTTTGAAAAGATATAAAGGAAGTATATTTATCACTAATTGAATGGGAGAAAAGGCAATTTTCGTTTTTTCACCTTATGTCCCTCTGGATGCACACTATGCCCTTTCCTCAACTTTCTACGCTTCGCCACATAGAAATTTCTGTCGAAGAACAAATAAACTCTTGTATATAATAAACATCAGTTTGCGGAGATGATTGTCAAGGCCAATTTGATCAGGTAGAAAAAATTTGTTTTCTAAGCAAGGAAACAAAACTAAAAAAACGGATCCGTTACTTTTTTCCTATGGACGTAATAGTTAGGATCACGTGAGAGAAACTGTCATCTCTCAGCTAAAAAAACTAGATAGGTTTGCACGACTCACCGGCAGTATTGAACGGTCCTGCCCGGAATTCACTTTTTTATAAACCTTTGTAAGTTTCGCTCATCTGAAAATCGGTGTTCTATATGCAATTTTACATGGAACATTTGACTAGAACTATATCAAAAAACAAAAACAGTGAAAAAGATGCGAATTTTGGTTATTCGCAAACCTATCTCTAAAAACCCGAATTCCAGTTTTAGCTAGCGAAATCTAGAATTTCGCTGGAGAAAGTGGAATCGAGCATGTGCATGCACATGCATTCCAGTTCTCGCTGGGAGAAACTCGGATTCCAGTTCGCCCTAGCAAAATCTAGAAATTTCACTAAATTCTAGTTTTCGCTACAACATCTCATGGGCTCTTGGCTGTAAGTAGGTTTACGATCACACAGAAAACTGTCTGGTGTCAGCATCCGCAAATCCAGGGGTAATGCCACTATAAATGAAAGCATGTCTAACGGATAGCGCCATCGTACTATGCAAAAGGACATAATTATAACCTGGATGTTAAACAACTCGTCATTGTCTACAGTTTTAACAATTGTTCCTGAAAAATTTTATTTTAGGGAAAAAGTAATACACTTTGATAACATAGATGTTTAAAGTTTAAATCTAAGCGTCTCATCTAAGTAAAGAATGCTTAAAAATATTAACATACATTATATGTGTTATGTGTGGATAACGATGTGTTCGTAAATGATAATAAAAAACTTATCATCTACTGTTACAAGTAGAATAGAACTATCTGTTATTTAAAATATAAACGTTTGCCTTTCTTTTTCTTTTTATAGATTGTTGTTGGTACAAGACGTACAAACAAATAAACCATCAACATAGAAAAAAGAGGAGAAAGATTAATAGAGAAAATCGAAAAGTTTTTTTCAATTCAGTCTTGTTTAACCAAAAAATGCATCCCAATGTTGTTTTCGACCATAGGATCGTCTGGAGAGAGCTGATCTTAATCTTCCAAAATCGTCCAGTCTATTTATGTGGTGCAACGGAAAGTCATAGTGAAAAGATCGCACGCCATTGTTGTTAAATATAGTATTTTCAACAAATGGTGGTAAAAAGCCAGTTGGGAGTTTCACATCATCTTTGATAAACCTTGGTCTACACGAGGATTCTTGGAAGCAAATACAAATGACTAAAATATCAGAACAAAAGAAGTAAACTATTAGTAAACGGAAATGTTACTTTATTTTTCTCTTGGATTATCAGACCTAATAGT